GGGTGACTCTAGGTGTTGTATTAGTAGTTTGCTAGGGCTGCCATAATAAAGTACCATAGACGAGGGATTAAACAACAGCAGTTTATTGTGTCACGGTTCTGGAAGCTAGAAGTCTTAGATCGCTGTGTCAGCGGGGGTTGTTCCTTCTGAGGGCTGTAAGGGAGGCTCTGTGCCAGGGGTCTCTCCTAGCTTGCGGTGCCCTCAGGCGTTCCTTGGTTTGCAGATGGTGTTCTCCATGTGTCTTCACATTGTCTCCTTCTGTGCATGTCTGTCTCTGTGTCCAAGTTTCCCCTTTTTATAAGGACGCCAGTCATATTGGATTAGGCCCACCCTAATGACCTCATCTTAACTTGATCATCTGGCAAAGACCCTGTTTCCAAATAAGGTTACATTCACAGGTGCTGGGGAGTTAGGATTTTTGACATCTTTTAGGGGGATATAGTTCAACCCATAACATAACAGATGGGAAGGAAGGAAACAGGTCTATTCTCCTCTCTCTTCCCCTCTCATCTCCCTCAGACCATGACTGACGTGGTAGGTAACCCAGAGGAAGAGCGCCGAGCTGAGTTCTACTTCCAGCCCTGGGCTCAAGAGGCTGTGTGCCGATACTTCTACTCCAAGGTAGTCGCCTGGGGTGCACAGGGGAAACTGACAAAAGGTCAGGGGTCTGCACCCCTGATGGGGGTCTGTGATATTAGGCACCAACTTCTGGTTTGTCTCAGCTTCTACTCCCTCCACTGTTTTCTCCCTAGGTGCAGCAGAGACGGCAAGAATTAGAGCAAGCCCTGGGAATCCGAAATACATAGGGCCTCTCCCACAGCCTGATTTGGCTGCACCGATTCTTTATTTGGGCCCTGTGCTGCCTGCCTCATAGCACCTGCCTTGGTCTTGCTTGGGGCCTTCCAGGGGATGCCGTTGGTTCAAGGACAACACCAGAATGAAGAGGGTCTCACGTTGCTGTCTCACAAGACACCTATTACCCTCTTCTCCACCCCATCCCTTCCCACCTCCCAGCTTCCCTTTGCCCCACAAAGTTCCCATGTGCCTCTACCCTCCCCTGGTCTACATAGGACCTCTAGATAGTATTAGAGAGAGAACCTGTAGTGGTAATCAGTGCATTGACTGGATTGGGCCTAAAGCCAAGTGGTCTTCAACGGGACTGGCCACCCTGATCCTGCCCTTCAGAGACCTAGGAGTTGGGAGCCTTAGTACCTTCTCCGAGACTCAGGCCTAGGGGCACTCTATAAGCTAGTTGATCTTGGCTCTCCTGATAACAGAATCCAATTTCCTTCCTTCCCTCCACAGGTTTGGAGCAAAGTCTCCCTTCACTTGTTGCCCTCTAGCCCTGAGCCCCAGGTCAGTCCGCAGCCCTCTGGATCGGCCTGCTGTCTCAGTGCTTCTCTTACTCCCTCGTAGGGGGTCCACATCAGTATTGGAGTTTGTTCTTTAACTGTTGCTCCCCCCAGCACACTCCTTGTAGCTGCTCTTTCTGGGATTCCTTCCTGTCTGTCCTAACCCAGGGCATTTGGGTGGCGGAATCTTGCCTTTCCCTGTCAGAGCCTCAGGGATCTAACCTGGGGTACTGTCATTGCCAGCAGAGGCTGTTCCTTCCTGCTGTTGCTTGGAGGTGTGACTCATTCACTCCACCCTGCCTGCCCTATCCCTTCATGGAGAAACAGGCCTAAAATCAAACGGGTAAAAGCCCTGGGCCATCCCTGTCTTCCTGTCCCTGTCTGCCCAGTTGACACCCACTGGTGACTTCTAGGGCATTGAGGAGTGAAAGCGCCTGGGGCTGGAGAAGAGCTCTGAGCGGGTCTGTGACTCTGCCTCTCCCTGCCTCACAGGATCGTGACTCCCCAGCCCCTGCCCTCAAAGCTTCAGACCCCTCAGGTAGCAGCAGGACCTTGTGATCTTGGCCCCTTGGAACTGAGATGGTTTTGCATCTTTCCAGGAGAGCCTCAGATTCTTCTTCCAGGTTGTATTGTCCCCGAGTTAGCATATCCCAGGCTCGCAGACAACATAGCAGGGTGGGAGACAGCTGGGCAGAGGGGGATTTCCGTTCAGCATGGGCTCTAAACCCACAGAACTGACAAAGCCCCTGCTTCCCCACCCCCTCCTCAGGCTCCTGCGAGCACATCCCCCAGCCCCATATCCCTGCCTGTTCCACACTGGGAACAGCAGAATTTTCTCCCCATCTTCTCCTTCCTGCCATTATCCCACCCCTCCCTTGAAAGGTTCTCCCCACAGTGACGCTGGACCACCTCTGTCCTTGGGGCTGGAACCATGAGAAGGAAGCTGAGCACTCCTACAGTGTCCCTGTTGAAGATAACTTTTTATTAACTGAATTATTATGTTTTTTTCATGGACCAAAATTTTTTTGTACTGTCCCCTTATCAATGTCACCCAGTTTTAATAAAAGACTCTTCCAAAGGATGGGTCCCCCTACCTACTGAGAGAGAGCTTTTCCCTGAGCTCTTTCTATTCCAATACCACTAGCCATGCTCATGGTGTTTGTTCATTTTATTTGACAAACGTTTCTTGAGCACCTGCTGTGTGCCAGCTGTGGTGCTAGGCACTGGGGATGTGGTAGAAAACAAGGTTTCTACCCTGTGGACCTCAGGTTCTCACCTTAGAGCTTGCTCTGTCAGCCCAGTGGTCCAAGCAGGCCAGGTGCTGGTTGGGAGTATTGGGCTTCATCATTAGATCTTAGAGTTCTGCCTCCAGTTCCCTTTAGGAAGGTACTAACAAGACAGTGGCACTACCATCTTCTCCCTTGTCCTGAGCTCTAGGGCACCTGCTCGTTCAAGTGTGCTGCCCTTGGGTGCCTTTGATCCCTTAGGCTTGATGAACGTGTCTCTAGAGCAGTTCCACTTCTCAGGGCTCCTATCTAGATAACAGACCAGGGCCTGCACAGCTAAAGACATTTGTGTCCCCTGTGCCTGCCATTCTTTAAGGTCCCACTTTCATGGCCCTGATGAAGATTTCGCTTCTTAAGGTCAACATGGAAGTGCTGTGTTGTCATCCTCATACTGTAGACAACCAGGCCCTCATTAGCAGAGTTGGGAAGACTGCTCAGGATTGATACTCCCATTAGCATGAAATTCTGCTACAGTTCCCATCATAATGTGCCTGCTTCCCACCTGGTGGCTCATTACTTTCCTCTTTTGTACCATTATCTAGCTTAGTTCTACCCAAGGAGGTGGTTTAGAACATAGGATGAGTGCAGCCATATTCCGAAGTTGTAGCTAAAAAATTATCCTTGGCCTCCATGGATGGGAATACTCAAGTATAGCCTGTATGTAATCAGACTCAACAAGGATACAACCACTGTTCCTAATCTGGAACTTGGGGGTTTATCAGACGTGAGTAGGGAAAGCAGAGAAGAATGTGTGTGGGTGATAACTTGGAGTGAAAAAATTGATGTCAAGGACATAGAAATGGCATCTGTTTTTACCCAGGCTAATTACATGTGTAATGAATGGCTGATGAACCATTATTAATTTCAAGCAAATAATCTACAGTTTGCTCTTGGGAAAAGAGCTCTAGTGGTACAGATAACTTCCTGTGACGAGCCAAATCTGAATCTCTGCACACTTTTTATTCCTGTATAAATGAACAAATTCTTTGTCTCCACACTACTTAAAATGATGATTGTAGGGGCAAAATGAGAGGTGGAAGCAGTTAGGCGAAAACAAGGGGGTTATTTTATGCATAAACATCTATTCTTTGGGGTTCCCGTCATATGTGCCAGGGACAGAAGCATTCTCTCCCATCACCCATAATCAGTGCTCCCAGCTGGCAGCCTGGCACTGGTGCCTTTGTCTCTGTGCCAGTGCAGTCGCAGTGATCTGTGGGAAGCTGGCTCTTAGTAGGCACAACTTTGTTCCTAAGGGAAACAGTCAACCACTGATTTCACACCCTGGCCATGGGAAGAGAATACAGTGGGCTTTTCCTGGGCAGTCCCTAGAACTTAGAAAACCATTTCTCCCCAGTCTTGACCTCATGCCCCACTCACCCTTCCCCAGTGGTTGCACACAGACTCCCCTCTTGCCCGCCAACAGCAGCCCAGGGGGATGGAAACACCCACTAAGCCGTCTGCCAAGCCCAGAGGTCGGCATGTGAGCACACAGTGGTGTCTGCCCTCTAGGCCAAGGTGCACAGACAGCTGGAGTGTTAGGGGCCTTTGCCCCACTCTCCAGATCAGCCTAGAAACCACAGCTCCCCCACTTAGTCAAACAGATGGCTACGGGGCAATATGGCGCCCTGAACTGCTCAGTGTGTTCCTTTCGTTCTCCCCCTCCCCCCAAAATCACACACCCCACTTGCTCTCAGTTACAGGATCTGAGACCAGAAAGTTCCAGAGGTCACAGCTGCCCCAGGCACTGCCTCCCTTCCCCTTTCTGGCTTCTGCAAACTAGCCACTAACCTGAGGGAGCCCCTAGTGTGGCAGCTTGGAAACCCAAGGAAGAATTGGAAGGGAGCTCAAAGCCTCTCAAGAACAGTGAACACTTGGCTGCCTTCTCTTCTCTCCTGTCCTCTTCTTCCTTAAGCCCAGAGTCTGCAAAAGGAGAATTGTGGGCTACCTGGCATTAGAGCCTCTACCTTAGACCTTTCCACCCTCCCTTCCTGGAAGACATTCAGGTGGCGATCCTTTGAGATGAGGAGAGGCCCACTAGTGAGACCCTGAGATGTGGGTAACTGAGATGACCTTGTCTCTCGGGGCTCCTGGGGTCTCCTTATCCTTGGTTGGGTTGCCCCAAAGCAGGCCCTTACCTCTTAATGTGGTCTTAGCTTCAAAAGTGGGCCCACACCCACCCACCTCACTCACCCACGGCCCTGCAGTGGAGCTAGTGTGGGGCCAGTGACATGTGGTCCCTGCCACTGCTAGAGGACAAACCTGTAGAGTCGTTTTGGGGGTCCTGGGAGGATATGCAGGGCAATTCCTCCCTTGGAAAAGAAAGCATTCCTGTATCTGCTACTAGGGCTGAATGCAATTTATTCCAGGGCTGAGGGACAGGAGGGAGTGAGGGGGGCCAGTCACTTGCTCCTTATCTGGGCTATTTCTTGGCAGACCTCAAAATGGGACCATTGCGGGGACGGGGTGGGAAACTGGGCTGGGGCCAAGGGCGGATGCTTGCCAGCACTGTCAGCTGTTAAACCTAAGAGGAAAAGCGGGGCCTGGTCTCTGCCCCATTCGTGGTCCCCACCTGTCTCTACCCGTTCCTCCCCTTTCCCTGGCTCTGCCAGGCTGTCTCCCTGGGCACTCGCCTCCCCACCCACCCTGGGGGGCGGGGCTTGGCTGCACCCACATGTGGCGGAGTTATATGTTCCTAGCCAGCAGAGGAGCTGGGGAGTGTAGCACTGAGCTGGCTCAGGCAGAGAAGCGCCACCATGGCCAGCAAGAAAGTCTGCATTGTAGGCTCCGGCAACTGGTGAGCGGCTCTGTCAAGGGGTATGGCAGGTGGGGAGGGGGTTCTCCCAAATACACAGTGGGTTGGGGAGGGAGGCTTGGTGGGCAGGAGGCAGAGAGTAGGTAGGAAATGCCCTCCGGTTCCTGTTCCACCCCTGCTGCTATCTTCTCCTGTGCCTACCCCCACAGGACAGACAGTGTCCAAACCTCTTCTGGCCCTTGCCTGCCTGGGCAGCTGCACCTGTTCACCACAGGAAGGGAGCCTCCAGGGTGCTCCCTGCCTGAAAAGCTGCTTGGGTTTGGTGGGGTGGGGAGATCACAAGGCTGGCCCCCTTCTCCAGCAGCAAAGTGTGAAGTAGACTGAGTCTCCTGTCTACTGCCAGGTCACTAGGGACACACTGTCACAGGGGTGGGGGTGACAAGGAAGGTGGCAAGTAAATAATCTGGTGGGCTGCTGTGATATCCTGAGGTGGAGCACTGCCCCCTCCCCTGCCCCTGTTCCCTCCCTCACGCCCCCACTCCTCCACTTTCTGTGCTCCCCCTCCTGCCAGGGGCTCAGCCATCGCCAAGATTGTGGGTGGCAATGCAGCCCAGCTGGCACACTTTGACCCACGGGTGATCATGTGGGTGTTTGAGGAAGACGTCGGGGGCAGAAAGCTGACAGAGATCATCAACACGCAGCATGAGAATGTCAAATACCTGCCAGGGCACAAGCTGCCCCCCAACGTGGTGAGCCGCAACACCCTGCAAGGAAGGGAAAGGGAAGTGGAGGGGTGCCTCCTGCTGAGAGGGATCCATTTCAGGTGCCACCTGGACCTGGGGAACATCTCAGGAGGGCTGCTGCATGCACAGGGCACCCCTATGCACAGCCCCCAAATTGCTCCCCTGGGCAATGTCTGGGACTGAGGAGAACCTGAATGTACCCCCCTCCTCCCCTTTATGGACTCCCAGGCAGGAAGGGGAGAGGGAGAGGACAAAGAAGTTGGTCTCCACAGCAACAACAACCTCCAAAGACAGGTTCTCTGGCTCCCAGACTTGGGGTCTAATCCTGTTATTCATTCACTGGGTTATTAGCAGACTTGGATGCTGTTCCCTGGACTTAAGGTCTTTGGTCAAATCCATGTGGCTTGCTCCCCACCTGGAAAGGGGGAGCAGAGAAGACAGCAGGAAGACTGGGGCTCTCCCTTCCCAGTTGGGGCCCTAAGGAGCAGGGTGATGAAATTACTTGGCCTCTTCCTCCTGCCAAGCCTAGGTCTCCTTTGGCCTCCCTCACTCTCCCACAGCCAAGGGCTAGGAGAGTGCTGGGGGGAGGTTTCCAGGAGTCCTCAAGGGCCCAAGATATCTGAGGCTGGAGGGAATGAAGGCTAGGAAGAGGGAATAGAGTGTCTTACTCCTCCAAGTTCAGCCCTTTCAGATTCAGTCCCCAAACTGCCCTTCCTTCTCCCGCACCAGCCTCACTCTTTGGCTCCTAGATCTCCTGAATGGGGTTCCATGGGGTCTAGAAGAAGTCTCTCAGGCCCACGAGCACTGGTCACCCCCACAGGTGGCTGTCCCAGATCTGGTCCTGGCTGCAGCGGATGCCGACATCCTGATCTTTGTGGTGCCCCATCAGTTCATCGGCAAGATCTGTGATCAGCTCAAGGGCCACCTGAAGGCAAACACCATTGGCATATCTCTTATTAAGGTGCCAAGGACACCTACATATGAATGGGGCTACAGCTAACTGTTGTGGGGCTCAGGGTGGGTGAAGTGAGGACAACAGAAAATGGCAGAAGTAGGCCAAGAGTTTTCTGGAGAGAGGAGAGGAGTTGACTTTGGGGAGGCTTGAGAAACAGTCAGATGCTGGGGGCTGTTGGGAAGGGGAGGTTGGTTGGGGAGTAGATAAGAGATTGTTTGGAGACAGATGTCTCGGGGGTTTAGGAGGTGTACAAAGGATGCCTGGGGGGTATGAGAAGCCAGCTGGTTTGAGGGGTGTGAAAGGGGAGTTGGTTTAGAACAGTGGCTGGAATGGAAAGTTGGTTTGGGATACTCAGGAGCAGGTCATTTAGGGATGTGGAGGGGATACATTGCCTTGGAGAGGTAGGTTGATTGAGGGTGTGTGGAAGGAGAGTTTTCAGATGGATTTGTTTTCTCATGCTGGCTCCTCCTTACAGCAAGCTTTGGCTGGGTTGGAATGGGGCAGGACTTTTGGGGAGAGACACTGATGAACAGTGGATTTGGAAGGGGCAGGATTTCTGGGTGGGAAATCCTCAGTTGGGCATAAAGGGCACCTGGCCTGAGCTCCATCCTATGCCCAGGGGGTAGACGAAGGCCCCAACGGGCTGAAGCTCATCTCTGAAGTAATTGGGGAACGCCTTGGCATCCCCATGAGCGTGCTGATGGGGGCCAACATTGCCAGCGAGGTGGCTGATGAGAAGTTCTGTGAGACAACCATTGGTGAGAGCCCCACCACTACCCACATACACACGCAGCTCCAGTTACATCCCTTTCCCATACCCCCCTCAACTTAGCCATCTTCTCCCCGTAAGGCAGGCAAAAGAAGAAGACCCAAGCATCAGAGGTGGGGGAGGGTTGGGACACCTCCAGGGAACGGGTTGCAGCTCCTGCTTAGGGCAGTTGTGAGAAGAAGAGTCAAGAGTCTCCCCTTAAAGCCTTGTCCTCTCCCCACTTTAGGCTGCAAGGATCTGGCCCAGGGACAGCTTCTGAAGGAGCTGATGCAGACACCCAATTTCCGTATTACCGTGGTGCAAGAGGTGGACACAGTAGAGATCTGTGGAGCTTTAAAGGTGAGAGGGGTGCAGAGGCAGCTATGGGGTGGGGAGAAGGTCCTGAAGGAGGGCCTGGCTTAGCTATACAAGGTACTCCAGACTCTCACTCTTGGGCAGTTGCTCCCCTTCCCCAAGTCCCACACACATAGGAAGAGCTGCAAAAGCAAGGCCAGGGTCATTCAGGCCTGCCAATTACTCACCGTCAGACATTGGACCTCCTTCTTCCTTTCTCTCTATAGCCCCTTGTGGGACATCCCTATCTCTAGCTCCAGGGGGTAGTCTGGGGGAAGAGGACATGCCGTGGGGGAGCATCCAGCCTAATGGGAGACAAGATGTCCAAGACACTCAGACTGATGACCAAAACTCTGGATCCTGGACGGAGCTGTGGATATCAGGGATAGAGAACAGAATAGTCATAGATGGGAGAGCTGGCTGGACAGATTGGTTTTTGGGAAATGTCCTCAAGGATGGAGTATGGGACAGGGGTGGGGAGCCAGGAAGCATAAGCCCAGCCTAAAAGTAGGGGGTGCAGCAAGTGGGAAAACCAAGAGGTGGAAATAGTTGAGGAGCCCCTCCACTATTCCCCACTTATTCAGGAGGTGTGTCATGGCTGATGGAAGGAGCACGAGGCAGGTGCTGAGGGCTCCAAGTGGGGCCTGCAGGAGGGGATTCTTTCTCACCCGTGACCTCTACTCCCCAAAGAATATAGTGGCCGTGGGGGCTGGCTTCTGCGATGGGCTGGGGTTTGGCGACAACACCAAGGCGGCAGTGATCCGACTGGGGCTCATGGAGATGATCGCCTTTGCCAAGCTCTTCTGCAGTGGCCCTGTGTCCTCTGCCACCTTCTTGGAGAGCTGTGGTGTTGCTGACCTCATCACTACCTGCTACGCAGGACGGAACCGCAAGGTGGCTGAGGCCTTCGCCCGAACAGGAAAGGTGGGCCCCAGGGAGAATGCAGAATGGTGGGTGGGCCCTGTAGGTGTCAAGCTAGAAGAACTTGGCTTGAGGCATCTCTTGAGCACAAACATTAAGACTGCTGTGGGCCGGCCCAGTGGCTTAGCGGTTAAGCGCGCGCGCTCTGCTACTGGCGACCCGGGTTCAGATCCCGGGCGCGCACCGACGCACCGCTTCTCCGGCTATGCTGAGGCCGCGTCCCACATACAGCAACTAGAAGGATGTGCAACTATGACATACAACTATCTACTGGGGCTTTGGGGAAAAAAAAAGGGGGAAAAAAAAAGGAGGAGGATTGGCAATAGATGTTAGCTCAGAGCCGGTCTTCCTCAGCAAAAAGAGAAAAAAGAAGAGGATTAGCATGGATGTTAGCTCAGGGCTGATCTTCCTCACAAAAAAAAAAAAAAGACTGCTGTGAACATTCCCAGCCTTTCTTTCCTTCTAAGAGAGCACATCCCATCTGAGCCCCAGACTCTCCACCTCATACTGACAACCCTCCTCTCCCATTTCCATCCACCCATCCTGTTTTCTTCACAGTCCATTGAGCAGCTGGAGAAAGACATGCTGAATGGGCAGAAGCTGCAGGGGCCCCAGACAGCCCGGGAGCTACACAGCATCCTCCAGCACAAAGGCCTGGTGGACAAGTAAGCGTCTGCCACAGCCCCATTGGTGGAGGGAACCACAGCCAGAAGTGCTCTCCCCATTCATCATCTTCTGAAGTGGGCAGAGAGGGAAGTGTATCTTGTTTACAGACAGAGACTATAGAGCTCAGAGAGAGTCTGGCATGCCTGCTGTGCCCCAGCTAGTTCATGGACTTTGAACTCTTTCCAGTCTAGTGCTCTTTATATCACATTGCTTGGAGCCCTCTGCGTAGCCTCCCTTCTGTCCTTTCCTCTTTGTCCTCTGCTATGGAGGTTGGAGCTCTCAGGCAGCAGGAATAAGCTCATCTGACTATCCCACCTCTCTGTCCATCACCCCCAGTCTAAGCTGCTCCCCAGAGGCCAACCTTTCTGTCCCCTGAATCCTATCCTGGGTGCTGAAGTGTGAGGAGATGGAGTTGGACACTTCAAGGTGTTCCTTTTCAGGGAGTACAAAGACAGTGGGGGTGACGGGCTGATCAGAGCAGAGCTCTGTTGGTCTGAGACAGAATCCTAGAATAAGAGAGTATGAAACAGGTTCAGAAGATCAGCTCATGGCTGGTCAGGATAAAGCCTCCTGATAAAGGGAGCAGCCTGGGCAAGAGGATGGGAAGAAGGAAGCTGGCACTTATTGAGCACCTGCACCTAAGACATAATCACTTCTCCACTGCTTTCTTATATTGGCCCCACTTTTCAGTTGATGATACTGAGGCTCAGAGAGGTTAAGTGGCTTGCCCAATTGGAACAAAAAATTCATGCCAAGGAATCATGCAGGTTTGATACGATAGGGAGCAGGCCTAGGAAGTTCATATTCTCAGCAATTGGAAGTTGAGAGCCAGAGTCTGCCTGAGCTCGAAGGCGGGCGAGCAGGGGAGTGGTGGATTAGGGGGTGAGTGGGGAGTGTGGGGGTAGGGGGCATACCAGGAGGCTAAGCTGAGTCTCTCCTTCCCCATTCTAGGTTCCCTCTGTTCATGGCTGTCTATAAGATATGCTACGAGAACCAGCCAGTGGGTGAATTCATCCGCTGCCTACAGAATCATCCAGAACATATATGAGTGGGGCTGGGGCCCAGGCCAGGCAGCTTCTTTACCCCAATGGAGACAGGAAGAAGCTTGGGGTACCTGGCCACCAGGATCTCTGGGACTCCCCACAAAGCAGCCACTTCTCAGTTTTTCACTGGAAGACAGGAGGCTGTGGGGCCCAGCTACCTGCTTGGAAATCCAGAACCACCAAGCAGCCTGTAGCCTCTTGCCACCACATTTCACCAGAAATGGAGTTGCCTTGTCCCTCTCCAGATGTGGGGCTCTCTCCCTGTCCTCTGGGAGGGGTAGACTCAAGCCCCAGTGCTGCCTGCTTTCAGTGTGTGTGTAGGGGGGGTGGGGAGGTGGCGGGAGAGGGAGGCAAGGGATCCCCACTGCTGCTTCACACAGACCAGGAATCCTGTCCCTAAGCCCAGTTCAGTGGCTAAAGAAGTACCTCAGCCACAAGAGGGATGAAGCAAGGGCTGCCAGGGCGGGGTCTGGGCTTTTGAGCTGACATAGGCCCCAGGAACCCCTTTGCTCTGACCTCTACCAGGCCTCACACAGCATCAATGGATCTCAGTGTTTGTTACCAAAATACAAAGATCTCAAATAAGCTTCTTCTAGCTTCTCCTAGCAACATCTGCGTACTAGGAAACCTCTGGTCGTCCCCTCCCCCCTCCCCCAAACTGCCCTGGCACCGAAGTTGCTGCCACGCTGGCATCTTTCGCCCTGAGGCTTGTCATTCTCCCCAAGGCCTTCCTGGTTCCTAGTTCTCTGCCAGCTCCTCCCCACCATGCGTAACCTTTCCGAGCCTTCCCCCACCCTCCCCGCCAGCACCCTCTTTGGGGAGCAGGAATTTAATCTGCTGACAGAGCTATACCTTTTCATAGCAGGCTCAGATCATTCTGCTCCCTGTGACCTTTGTTATTTGCCCTGCCTCCCTTCTCAGGAGCTCTAGTAGGGGGGAGGTGTCAGCTGGGTCCTTCCTGCTGCTATGTGCCCAAGGACATCCTTGGCTCTACCCCTTTCCTCCTTCCAAACCCTGTACCTATTTCTCAGCTGCCTCCAGAGCAGCCAGGCAGCTAACAAGCCCCTGTACCTGGAGGCCAGGGGGCCAGAGTGGCCCAAAGGCTGATAGGGGCAGGGAAGGGTGAGCAGGTTCCCATGTTGGTAGGTCCTGACATTCCAAAACCAGCTCTCCTTTGTCATCTGAAGGCCTTCTTAAGAGGTATTGACTACATCAGCACCTCTCAGGAGCTGGGAAAGCCAAGGAGGAGGGAAATAATTAAAACCACTCTCCCCCCTGGGGTGAGGGAAGAACAGGAAGGGAAGGAGGGAGCGGAGTGTGCTTTGCACTGGCCTCGCTCCAGGATGCGGTGGCAGCCAGGGAATGTCACAGGTCAGCAGCCTGGGCCCCTGGCTATAAATAGTCCCCAGGGCCTGAGAGGCTCCTGCCATGTCCAGCAAAGAGTCTCAGCTTCCTGTGTGGCAGCACCTGGCACACTGTGGCCCTGGCCAGCATTGTGTTAACCCTCCCTCACTCCCCGCCAAACCAGGGAGGCAGGCTCCTCTTAACCCCTGAACTGTCTCACCAGTGGCAGGCAGAGCTGCCTGGATCAGGCAGCAGGAGTGAGAAGTAGTCACCCCAGATCTAGCTGAGCCCAAGTAGGGGCACTGACTGAATCCAGAGCTTCCTCCCTAGGAGGTCATAGTGGCTGCAGCTGCGACCTTGTTAGATAGTCAAATGCCTTTGCCTACTTTTGTTCAGTCCACAGTTAACTAAATCTGAGGCTTTCGAATCAGGCCTATTGTCTACCCAATAAAGGGTAGTTTTTCCAGAAACGAGTTGGGGAGGGGTACTTCAGCGCATGTGGCAGGGCGCATGCTGTGGTGGATCACCGCATGTATGTTTCACTCACACTGTAGGAAAAGTGAAAAAAGAAGAAAAATCCCTGCTTGATACTCCTGGCCACTCTCGACCCCTAGCAGAGGTGCCCACGGGTCCCCCTCTTCCAAATGGCACCCCTCTCTCAGCCCCTTCCCGGCGCTTCTTTGAAGCTTTATCACGCCGCCTGCAATTGGGAAGGTCACGCATGGGACAGAAACGTTAGATATTCGTCCCTTGTGCTCACTCCGTGGCCACAGCCAAGCCTGCCACATCCTGGGCGGTCCAGGCCTCGCGGTCCGGTCGGGTTCCTACCTGAGCTCTGCAGAAGCCCGGCCAAGGGGAAGAGGGCAGCACTAGGCACCAGGGGGCGCGCGGTCCACCTCCAGAGGGCTGACTCCGAGAGAATCACCTAGCTACTGGGGACGTCACCGTGCAGTAGGCTGGAGATTGGCTGACTCTCTTTGAGTGGGAGAGAAAGATCGTCTTTTCTATCGTGCTTGAGCATCCTAAAAGTTCCGGTTCCAGACCTTGAGTCCCCAAAGACCCTCTCTCAATGGAGAATGACTACAACCCCCAGGATTCAACGGGGCTCACCCACCGGAAGGGAGGCTGGCCCGGAAGCCGGGTGTTCAAAGGCGGCCGCCAGCCGGAGCCGCGGCAGGCGCGGGCTTCCGTCTCAGTGGGCGGGGTTGTCTCTCGCGTCGGGAGCGGACTCCTAGAGAGTGAGCGGGGCGGGTGGGAGGGAGCAAAGGCGGCTCTCCGCTCCAATAGCGCCTCAGCGTTCGGGGTTGTTCCTGGGCCGCCAGCCTCGCGTGGTCTGGTCTGGGGCGCTGCGTCCGTCGGCTCTAGGAAGTTACGCAGCCTGCGGCGGTAAAGACCCTGCCCCCGGAGGCCTTGGCTGCGCCGGAGGGAACCGCAGCATCCAGGTACGCCGTCGGCTAGGGCCCAGCAGGGGCCGCCTGGCCGCTGAGGCGCGCCGCTCGGGCGGGCCTTTGCTTACCGCATCCTCCTCTGCCCGAGTTTTCAGTCTTCGGTGCCCTTGAGGTCATGGGCGTATTCTGCGCCGCGGAGCGCAGGCCGCGATCTGCACTGCTTCCAGCTCAACGAGCTCCTTGCAGCCCTAGGTTCCTGTCGAACCTTGACTCCAACCGGGCATCTTGGCCCTCCACGCTCTGACTCCAGGAGCTCTGACCCTTCCTTGCCTTATAGTCCGCAGCACCCTGATATGTGCCTTTCCCGGGCACCCTTCAATGCTTAGCGATTTTCCACCTCCACTCCTTTGCTGCTTTCAAATCCTGGAATGCTCTCCTTCTCCCTCTTCTCTGCTGGTATAAATCTTGCCCACCCTTCTAAAGAGACAGCGCCACCCATCCCCATCTCTCTTTCCTACCCGCTTCTGCTAACTTTTCTCGAGCCCCCACTTTGTCTCTGAACTCTCACAATGCCTCTTCTGTTTTGGTTGCCGCCATCTTCTATCTTGTTTAACAGAATTTGGGATACGTAGCTTATCCTCATTAGACCATAAGCTCCTTTGAGACAGAAGGCATATTCTTCTCTGCGACCTTCATAGTACGTGTAAAAGGTAGACAGATAAATGAGTCAGTCTAAGCTGAGGTAGATGAACCCATTTCAGGAAGTGAGTTTTCCAGAGGAGAAACCTGAGCCTTGAGGTCCTGCCATGTTTAGGGGCAGAAAATGAGAGACGAGCCACGTAACCTTTACAGATTGCACCCCTATGGCATTTTCCGTAATGGTTCTTGCCATTTTTTTCCTGTCTTTTTGAAACCTTCAGTCTAACCCATCACACCCATAACAGACCCAGCTTTGAGCTTTATTGAGAAAATGGATGATCCTCAGATGAGAATGTTCTGCTAACCTCAAAAATTTCCCTCATTTCCAAGGTTAATCTTTCTACCTGGGCTTCTAATTTCATCTTTTCCTGGGCCATCCTGGATCTTGTTCCATCCCACCCACCTCACTTATCCTCAGTTTAGCCACGAGCTTCTTTCCCTCTGACGACATACTTGAATCTTCCTTATCAATAAGCAAAATAAAACTAGAATTTCCTTGATCTTGTTACCTTCTCAAGCTGCTGCCCTATGACTCCCATTCCCTTAACCAGCAAATCACAAGAATATGGATTCTCATCTTTGGAGTGAGGGGGTTTGATCCTTCTAATAATCTGTTTCTCTCTGTCCCCCAAAAATGCATAGATGCATGAACCTTGGAGGGTGGTGGGGTTCATTGGCCTGCTGGGACCCTGGCTAAGAATCTGTGCTCTTTATTTAATGCCTGTTCCAGTTCAGTGCACTAAATTGACTAGTTCTACACTAGGTTTACTGGTGCCCTCGTCACCTCTTCCCATCCATTGATGCCATCTCACCAGTCTTCATAGCACTTACCTTTTTTTTTTGTGAGGAGATCAGCCCTCTGCTAACATCTGCCAACCCTCCTCTTTTTTTGCTGAGGAAGACTGGCCCTGGGCTAATATCCATGCCCATCTTCCTCCACTTTATGTGGGACGCTGCCACAGCATGGCTTTCCAAGCAGTGCGTCGGTGTGTGCCCCGGATCTGAACCGGCAAACCCTGGGCCGCTGCAGCGGAGCACGAGCTCTTAACTGCTTGCACCACCGGGCCAGCCCCTTCATAGCACTTACCTTTGTAGTGGTTCCCAATTTTCATTCTGGCCCCACACACCTGAAAGATGCAGCACACCTCCATGAGTGGCAGTGGCTTGATACAGCAGTGATTTTCAACCAGGAAGGGGGATGTAGGTAAATGAAAAAGCCCTCCAGATGTTTCTAGAATTTCCTACCTGCCTTTTTTCCCTGATTGTTTTCCTTCTTCCAACTGGCATTCCCTTGGCCTCTCTTTCTGGTCTTATCCTCTGCTTTTGTGTCACTTGTTACCTTGATCAGTAACTGAAGCCTATCCTCTCTCCCAAGATCTGTCCAGATTTGCATATCCATCTGCCTGACAGACATCATCTCTTGAATGTTGTGTTGAGCATCTTAATTTTAACATGTCCAAAACCCAGCTCATGATCTTCTTCTCTGACGCTCACTACCACCCCACCCCAATACACACACCTGTTTCTTCTCATTTCTTATTTCTATTAACAGTATCCCAATCTACAAAGTTTCCTAACTTCCTGCCTTGGAGATAATTTCAGCTTTGCCCTAATCTATTCAGTTAATAAATCTTGTTCCATTTCCAAAATAACTTCTGCATCTGTCCTCTCCTTTTCTACTGCTCTGCCTTAGCTCAGGGTCTGTGAAGAGTTTTTGTTCATTTGAAAATAGGAGAAATCTCAGGTTGAATTAGACAAGAGATGGAAGTGAGGTTCTAGATACCACAATTACGTCTATTAGTAGGTGTTCTGTCACTCGTCTAGCCAAGCTGTACCATCCTGTTTCTTTGTTGGCTGGTGAATGCTTCCAGCCTTCTTCCTCCAGCCCCTCGAAGAGGTGGTCCCAAAACTGGTTAGCATCTGGCCAGGGTAATGGGGGATGGGAGGAGAAAGAGTAAGTGACGGGGAGGTTGAAGGCTGCAGGTCTCTTTGCTGGAGCTGGTTTACTACCCTAGTGTCCTGCTCTGTGTGTGTGTTTTCTTCACTGTCTCACAGCTTGGGGTCTTTTCAAACCTCAGATAACCTGAACACAACCATTTCTCATCTTGAACGTGTGCCCTTTGGTTTTCTTCCTCTGACCATATTTAGTGTCACTTTCCATAGTCACTTGGAATTATAATTCAAGGAAGCTGTGCCTCAGCTCAGCTTGGGATCCACCCTCAAAGACTGGCTCAAAGGCAATGTTCAGCCCATAGGACTCACTCTGAGAAGCATTTAGATGTGTCACCCTACTCGTGACCCCCTGAAACCAGCTAATCCTGAGCTTTTCTTTTTCCGAATTCTTGACTCTTAAGAAACCTATTCTCACTAATTTCAGTCAGTCTTTTAATTTCAATTCCGTCAACAGAGAGGAGCCTAAGAACACACTCATAGTCCCAAACTTAGGAACATTTTGTTCAGAATCAGAGATTCCCGTGCTAAACTTTGTCTTGTTCCCTAGCTCAGAATATCCAGGGAACGGTTAAATTAGAAGTAATTTACCTGGAGCCAGCCCCGTGGCTTAGTGGTTAAGTGTGCGCACTCCGCTACTGGCGGCCCGGGTTCGGACCCCGGGAGCGCACCGACGCACCGCTTCTCCGGCCATGCTGAGGCCGCGTCCCACGTACAGCAACTAGAAGGATGTGCAGCTATGACACACAACTATCTACTGGGGCTTTGGGGAAAAAAAAGAAGGAGGAGGATTGGCAATAGATGTTAGCTCAGGGCCGGTCTTCCTCAGCAAAAAGAGGAGGATTAGCGTGGCTGTTAGCTCAGGGCTGATCTTCCTCACACACACACAAAAAAAGAAGTAATTTATCTCGTTCAATTGTGAGTTAACAATTTGCTGGGAACTTAGTTTCTTTTTAGGTCTTGGGATAGGTTCTTGGTGTTATGTTTGGAATGTAGAATTAGTGCTGTAGAAGGTTAAGTATAATTGAAATAATATAAACATACTGTTGGCACTATTTCAGGTACATTATGGCTTAAACAGATGCTTGAAGGCTAACCTGGGAACCTAACCACCGTGAATAAGATTGTTATTATGGGAAAACAAATTGGATATTGCCTAGCAGGTTCCCATTTGATCCTCCTAGAGAGAATAACTCACTGCTAATGTTTAATCCCTGGCTACCTCTATTAATTCCCTACTAGCTAGAAAAACTGATGCACGCTTAATGTACCAATTAAGAACGTTTCTGGGTGGTCCATCCCAGTCACTTCTATCCACAAACATGGAGGGCCAGCTGTTAGCTGTGATGTCGAGGCACCTGGTTCCAGCTGTGTTTCTGTATCTTGTATGCAGACTTTATTTGCCCTTTTGAATCTCAGAGTTCCCGAAAGGTATCTTCCAGTATAAGACTGCATATGTTCATATGCAGGGGCCGTTCAGAATAGAGTGCAGGCAGACTAAGCAGGATGCAGAAGGTATGGGATGGCCTTAAACAGGGAAGTGGGCTCAGCAGATGAGGCCCTATCCTTGGGTCTAAATCCAGTCTGTCTTTGTAGGGGACGACATGCCAACTGCCAAGCAACTAGCTGACATTGGCTACAAGACCTTCTCCACCTCCATGATGCTCCTGACCGTGTATGGGGGCTACCTCTGCAGTGCCCGAGCCTACCGCTATTTCCAACGGCGCAGCTCCCAGCGCCAGGCTGCAGAAGAACAGAAGACCTCAGGAGTCCTGTAGAACTGGAGGGCTTTTTCCCGTGAGCAGAGAGGCTTGAGGCATGCTGTGGAAAAACCTTACCTGTAATCATTTCCAATTCAAGAAGACTAGGGCCTTAATGGTTTTCAAGCCCTGCTGGGAAAAGGTGCCTATGTTTTCTCTGGTACTGCCAGCTTGGGGAGGCTGTGAATCATAATAGGAATGGGAGGGTGAGGCACACCTACAGGCATTAAATATTTTGCCATGTCTGTGTCTTGGTGTTTTTGTTTACTTAAATAGGGTATGGACCACAGAGGTTGGGCCTTGACTACCAGTCTTCTAGTCACAGACTAGATTTCTATATCTTGACCTTTTAGCACCCATGAAGTGGAGGATATACAGTTTTAGGTGTAGTAATATCAACTCTCATGATCTCAGAGAAAAAACTGTCCCAGCATCTGTATAAATCACCTCAAAAGACTGTAAAGACCAAATCTCTTCGTTGGTCAGTGACCCTTCCTGGACAAATGACTGTGTCCCGGTAATGGGGTACTCTGGCCAGCATGGCTACACACGCACCTCTTGAGTCAGGGAAGGCAGAGGCCCTTATTTAACAGCCCTGTCAAAATGGCCTGAAGTGGAGGAGCCATAGTTCCCAGAAGGAACTGTTGGTGGGCAACCCGTAGTAACACAGTCTACCTCTTTCAGCTCGGTGGGTATACGATCAGCATAAGGGTCAATTTCTCACTGCCACTGCACAGGAAATCTACCTGCAGGTCTTAGTGCAGAGTTGTAAAGAGGGTTTGAAAGAAAACACAGTACATTCAAGGTAAAACCCAACTTTGAAGAGAGAGAGTCTTGCCACCATTCCATTTTGAGCATTGAGACTTGCTAGTTCATGTCATTCTTGGTGATCACCCAAAATATCAACCCCCTTGGACATCTGTCCTCTCTCATGCTTCGTGTGCATACTGCTCTGACCTTTGTCTTCCTACTCCTAAACCTTTCACCGGAAAGCCCTCTTCTAGCTTTCCTGTATCCTCACCCGTTACTCCCATCCTGTCTTGGTTTGTTAACCAAGGACTCTACTGCCTCCTCTACTTTCTCACTTGCCTTACAGTAGGGTCACCATTCTCCCAGCTCCCCAGTGCCACTTTCAAACAGTATATTAATAAGTTTTTTTTTTAACCTTTTTTTTTTTTTTTAAGGAAGATTGGCCCTGCGCTAACTTCTGTTGCCAGTCTTCCTCTTTTTTCTTTTGTCTCCCCAAAGCCCCAGTACATAGTTGTGTATCATAGTTGTAGCTCTTCTGTATGGGAAGAGCCTCCACATGGCTTGATGAGTGGTGAGTAGGTCCACACCCAGGATCCGAACTGGCAAACCCCGGGCCACTGAAGTGGAACGCACAAACTTAACCACTACGCCACTGGGCCGGCCCCAAATCAGTCCTTTTTGAGGAGCTTTCTTACATGGTCATTTCCACTCTATTCTAGAACTTGGAGACTTCAAATCTTTTGATTCCTTCTATTTTCTTCCAATCTGTCCACCCCTTCTTGGCCTAAACTGCTTCTTTGTCCAGCCTATGCCCACAGCTGATCCCCTAAACAACTCCCCTGCAGTCTCTGCCTCCATCCTTACCCTTCTCAACCCCAGACTTTGCTCCATTAGTTATCTCCCCAACTCACTCTCTTCTTTCTTCTCAGTATATAAACTTAAGGCCCCCTACCCCCACCATAATAAACTACTCAAGATTATTTGAGAAGTCTTACGTGATACCGCTTCCTTGGACTTAAATTTCCTTCTGCCTCCACCACTCTATTGAAAATCCTAGTTGACATCGCCTCCATTGTGCCACACCCACGATGATTTCCGTTCTCCCCTCACTGTTTCTCTGCTGCACTGAAACTCTACTTTGGCCACAGAGGGACCACTATCTTGTTCCCTCCTAGGCCTTTGGCTTTCCCTTTTGATTTCCTTTACGAATTTCTTTGCTCACTTCAAACACTGATGTGTTTCAAAGTTTTGTTCTTTGCCTATTGCTCTTATTCTGTATGTTCTCCCTAGATTATTCAAGGCACTCTGGTTTTAACATTACAGTAAGTAGTTAAGTGCTCCGTGTTGGCATCCTGGCTCCACCATTATAGCTATATTGCAATAGGCCAGTTACTTACTTTTAACTCCTCAACTTACCTCTCTCAAATGGGGACAAAAAAATAATAGTTCCTTATTTAAAAGATTAGTTTGAAGATTAAATGAGATAATTCATATTAAGTATTTAATACTCTGTCTGGCACGTGATAAGCACTCAGTAAAGTCAGATAGTAACACGTGCTGCTGACCTCCAAATCTGTGTCTTCCAGATTGACCTTCTGAGCTTCAGATATAACCAATTGCTTGATACATCCACTTGAATATCCTACAGTCCTCTCTAATTTGACATGTCCATGACTAACAGCATTTCTTCTCATCTCCAGGACCTACCAACTCATGTGTTTTTCCCTATTTTAGTTAATGGCACTATCATCCAAGTCAGAAATATAGGAGTTTTATTAGACTATTCTCTGTACCCTACTTCCAACCAAGTAATTGTCTTATTAATTTTTACCATTTAAATGTCCACTTAATCAGTTCTGCCCTTATCATTTTTTTTTTTTTTTTTGTGAGGAAGATCAGCCCTGAGCTAACATCCGTGCTAATCCTCCTCTTTTTGCTGAGGAAGACCGGCTCTGAGCTAACATCTATTGCCAATCCTCCTCCTTTTTGTCCCCCAAAGCCCCAGTAGATAGTTGTATGTCGTAGTTGCACATCGTTCTAGTTGCTGTATGTGGGACGCGGCCTCAGCGTGGCCGGACAAGCGGTGCGTCGGTGCGCTCCCGGGATCCGAACCCGGGCCGCCAGCAGCGGAGCGTGCGCACTTAACCGCTAAGCCACGGGGCCGGCCCTACCCTTATCATTCTTGCTTTCACTTTGCAGAAGCCTTTAAGTGGTCTTGGTTCCAATTTTGACCTCATAAGCTTTATTTGCCACATTGCTATCAGCGACATCTATTTGGAACAAATTCGATTATGGTACTCCCCTGCTTTAGACTCCCTCAACCATAGACAATAAGTTAAGAATCCCTGACCTATAGGATCAAGACCAGACTCCTTAGCATGGCATATGAAATCCTTAAGACCTGACCCACCTTATGCTTCTGCCTCGTCCTTCATGTTCTGGTAATAAACTGCCTGTATGGTTGCATGCTGTTTCTTATTTCCAAGCCTGTTGTGCTTTTTCTCCAAATGGAACATCCTCTCTACCCCCAGCTGTCTCTTTTTCCAGAAATGCTTCTCTGACCTTTCACCCTCCCATTGCTGGGCCAGGTGTCTGTAGAAGATACCACTTTTCCTCTAAAAAAATCTTTAAAAGCACCAGTAGCTAAGACAGTTTTGAAAAGGAACAAAGAAGATGGGTTGGGCCTACCGGATATCAAGACTGTAGTAGAAAGCTAATAGTACTCTAAATGGTGTGGTCTTAGTGCAGGAGTAGACAAATAGACCAATGGCACAGAATAATAAACTCAGAAACAGATTAATATATATATGAGAAATTGAATACAATAGAGGATACATCGCAAACCCATGGGGAAAAATGAGGTTGGAACATTGAAAACCATCCATACTCTGTTGTTTGTGGGTGCATATATTATCGTAAAGTATAAGGAAATGGATTGAAAGGACACACCAAACTCACAATAGTAGTTGTCATATTGGGGGGGAGGTGAGGTGGCGTAGGGCACAGGTTAAAGAGGTCTTAAATGAAAACTGTTTACTCACAACACTCCTGATGCCAAGTATGTGAGTTTTTCCCACACCAAACAATTCTCCAACTCTCTAGACACCAACTGGGTGTCGTACAATTCATTTCTGCCACTAGCTTCCTGGAGTTAGCATAGACCCCACAGCTGAAGGGCTTAGTCCCACAAGACTGCCCACTTCAGATACCAATCACAAGTAGTGTGTCCCCAGGTTATCCACACTTGTGCCTGATTTGGCTACAAATTGGTTCCCACAACCTCCTCCTTAGGTTTGATAATTTGCTATAATGGCTCACAAAACTCAGGGAAACACTTTATTTACTCTTACTGGTTTATCGTAAAGGGTACCACTCAGGAACAACCAGATGGAAGAGATGCATAGGGCAAGGTGTGGGGCCCACCACTCTATCAACACCTTAATGTGTTTACCAACCCGGAAGCTCTCTGAACCCCATTTTTTAGGGTTTTTATGGAGGTTCTATTATATAAGCACAGTTGATGAAATCATTGGCTGTTGATGATAGCTCAATCCCCAGCCCCTTCCCCCTCCCTGGAGGTTGGAAGAGTAGGTCTGAAAGTTCCAGCCCTCTAATCATGCCTCCTTCTGGTTCCTCTGGCAACCAGCCCCCATCCGGAAACTATCTAGGGGCCTACCAAGAGTCACCTCATTAGCATACAAAAAGATACTTATCACTGGAGATTCCAAGGGTCTTAGAAGCTCTGTGCCAAGAACCTGGGACCAAATATATATTTCTTATATCAAACATCACAGGTCTCTAAGTTTTTATTTTATTTATTTTATTTTTTAATTATTTATTTATTTATTTATTTATTTTTCCCCCCAAAGCCCCAGTAGATAGTTGTATGTCATAGCTGCACATCCTTCTAGTTGCTGTATGTGGGACGCGGCCTCAGCATGGCCGGAGAAGCGGTGCGTAGGTGCGCGCCCGGGATCCGAACCCGGGCCGCCAGCAGCCGAGCGCGCACACTTAACCGCTAAGCCATGGGGCTGGCCCGGTCTCTAAGTTTTTTATTTCTTTTACAAATAAGATTGGAAATAAGACAAAATGTTAGAGATATTAATTCTGGGTATTGGAAATGTGGGCGCTTAGAGTATTTGTGTTTTCCTGCTTTTTTTTTTTTTTTCAATTTCTCAAAGAAAACTTAAGGGGAGAAAAAATACTTTTGATGGCTTCCTATTATTTACGTCAGTGGCTCTTAGCAGAAGTGGCACCCCCCCACACAAGACAAGTGAAAGTATTTTGATTGTCACAATGCTTGGGAAGCATCTCTGGCATTTAGTAGGTGGAAGCCAAAGATGCTAGACTGCTTGCAATGCCTGGGATGGTCTTGCATAACAAATTGTCCCAAGTCCTACACAACTATCAAATGTCCCCAGAGATATTCAAGTAAGTGAAAAAACAGTTTATACTTAGCTGAGCCTATAACCTAACTCTCTTTTACATATAAACACAAAG